ACAAGGTATGGTTGTATAATCCCAGGAAGACCAAAGGGAAGTCTCCTAAGTTGTCTTCTCCATGGGAAGGCCCATATGACATAGTGGATCGTCTCTCAGACGTGATTTTCTGGATAAAATGTGGTCGGCGAGGTAAGCCAAAAGTGGTGCATGCCAACAGGCTTTGGTGTTATCACGGTCCAGGACATTTCAGTTGTGACGAATTGGACAACAGAACAAATGACGCTGCTGAAGACGTGCCACCTGAAGAAGCCACCGTCGAAGAAGAAACTCTACTCAGTTTTGAGAAGGGAAACGGTGAAGCATTTGATGAAGTTACTACCACTGATGTGACTGTTATCAACGATAGGACTTTTCCTGATGAAGCAGATGAACCCCATGTGAAGCAGAAGCCAACGAGATGGAGACCAGTACGGAAGAAGATACGTCCCGTAAAATTAAGAGACTTTGTTGAATTGTAATTTTGTGTTTGTAATTCTGTACATTTAATTCTGCCCCCTCCTTAGTATTGTTCGTCCCGAACAATAGCCACTTACAATAAACCAATAACAATTAACAATAACTTTGTTGCGTCAGCGAGATCACGTGACTAGTGTCACGCCACCTATTTTCTAGAAATATCTAGTTCCTTCGTGAATGCCCTAGCATTTACTAGATATATGTTAGTCTGGTATATATATAGGACGCTCACAACGTGACGGGATAGTGTGTGTAGGTAGTGAGTAATTGATCTGCAGTCAGAGAGTATTGTTGAAGTTCGTTATAGCGTTTGTTTTAGCGCGAATGTTGAAATCAAGTGTATCGTAAAGTTATATTCAGAAAGAATAAACCAGTTTTATTAAGTAAGGACTTGTGTCGCTAAAGTTTCGTCGGAACGAAGTTACGGAAAGTTAATTAACAAACGGAGACGTAACACTATGTTGCTTAGCAACAAAAGTATATAACCTAATATTGTTGTTAGTTTATGTACTGAAAGTATAAAATGAAATGTTTTGAGTCTCCGTAAATTAAAGAAGTTTGTCTTTTGTTAAAAACATTGGTGATATAAATAACAATTCAGAAACGATTTAAGTTTAAAACTGAATCGATATTTTTACTTTTATGATAAAATTTATGCATTTGGCTCTAGGCTAGGTGATCCAACCAGGAACGTCGAGAGCCAGCACGGGCCCCGGGGCAAACATCCTCGCTGGGCCCCCTTTCTCTCTCTCTTTTTTAACATTTTCAAGAATTTATTAAAAAGAAGATCCTAAATTAAGACAGCAACGAGCTCATAAACCATACAAAATCATAGCAGCAGCTGTTTTTACCTCACAGTATAAGCGTAAAAACGTTAATAAAGTAACAACAAATGTCTATTAAATCTATAAAGTAACAAATACTTATTGTTACGTATCTGCTTATTTGTTAATTTCCGGTATGATATCAACACTCACTACACTTCTCTCGGCCCTCTTGCACCCCGTCACTAAAATATTAATGTGCAGAGAGTAATTGAAGTATTCTATCTGGATAAATGCATTTTGGCTCTCATGACTCTTCCTATTTCAAGAAATCAAGCGTGACGTGACACACACTAGCTTTTATGTAGGTTAAATTAGAACACCCTGAGTGACTAATGTGCAGAGAGTAATTGAAGTATTCTATCTGGATAAATGCATTTTGGCTCCCATGACTCTTCCTATTTCAAGAAATCATGCGTGACGTGACACACACTAGCTTTTATGTAGGTTAAATTAGAACACCCTGAGTGACTAATGTGCAGAGAGTTATTGAAGTATTCTATCTGGATAAATGCATTTTGGCTCTCGTGACTCTTCCTATTTCAAGAAATCAAGCGTGACGTGACACACACTAGCTTTTATGTAGGTTAAATTAGAACACCCTGAGTGACTAATGTGCAGAGAGTAATTGAAGTATTCTATCTGGATAAATGCATTTTGGCTCTCATGACTCCTACTATTTCAAGAAATCAAGCGTGACGTGACACACACTAGCTTTTATGTAGGTTAAATTAGAACACCCTGAGTGACCTAGTGGTTGGCATGTCTATATTGTGAATCCGAGGGTTCTAAGTTCGCGTCCTATTGTCGCAAATAATTCCCTCCGTACTTTGGGACCGTAGATGCGCTATAAGAGTGACAGTCGAATCCCACTATTCAGCCACCCAAGAGTTGACAGTGGGCCATGTTGACTAACAGTTTCCCCTCTAATCTATAAGCTCGAAATTAGGTACGGCTTTGAGCACTTAACCCTTGTGTGACTTGGCGCGAAAGTTACGTTTCGATAGTCAGTTTTTTTTGCATTTTTAGTAAAATATCGTGGTTTTTGTTTTACATTTCCGATACCCCCTTACTATCCCTTGGAAATGTTTTAAACTCTTTTAGGTCCAATATTTCTAAATGTTTATTTGATAACACACTGTCACTTTTACACCTTCATATCCTATTTATAAACTCTTTAAGTTAATGTTTCAGACACTTCCGTATGGCTGTTACTGCACATCACACCTATAAAGAACGAAAAAAATGTGGTGGTCCTGTTTCTTCTCACCTTCAGAGATATCACAGCTATCAAACAACCTTTAGAAGACGATGCCAGCAAAGGTAATGTCGGTACGATCAGTACAACTACATATTAGTTTAATCTTAAGTTTTCTATTGTGATGTCAGTTGTTTCAGTGGAGCAGAGAATTATAGCACAAGGAAAAGTTTCCTTGACACCGAAGAATTGGTTAGAAATTAACTTTTAAACGTTTTACTAATTTTAGGGTTAGCAAGCAGAGCTACCACAACATAAAGTTTATTAGCCCTACTCCAATGGACCTCAAATACAGTAGAATAAATAATATGTTAAAGTTTGATTTGGTATGCTTATTAGGCTTAGCATGATTTCGTCATAACTTCTTAGGTTCATCATCTTTTAAAGTAAATCCTATAAGGAATGACTTTAAAAACTCGTAATGCTTCGAATATTGTTTTAACAATGTGATATTTACCATGTAGGACTCAGCAAGTTTGCCCGATTAGCCCGAACTGTTACCAGGACTCGCTCCGTTTTTGTCCAACAGTCCTCATCTCATTCACCCCTTGTGAAGTCCAACAATACCAAACAATCTCAGATCGCTCACGTGAGTATCACTTTGAAGTAACTATTTACCTACCACAAGCTTAATATAATAACAGCCCATATTAGCGTGAATTAAAACTGGTATGCATAGAAGTGGATATCAAAAATTGGAATTTCGGTAGCTAGCGTTACCAGTCTCGAAGGTTAAGAAAAAAAATATGAAGGTATTATTTTAAAATTCGTTTTGGTGTAAAAATTCGGCCGATTTATGTTTTTGTTACTGAAGTATGGTGTTTTTAAAGCTACAGTGTTTGTTACTGGTTGCGTTAGACCAGCTCTTGGTAATCTTCATAATAAAATAAGAACTTGTACCACTAAATCATACTCTTAACTGAAATACTATAGATTGTGTCATTATGCCAACAAAACATACTCTATATGACATACAAGTTCTTGGCACCACGCCACCAAAAAAATGGCACACTGTCATATATCAAAGTAACTCTATATTCACCGACTAATCACCGGATTTACTCTTTGATCACTTGCTCAAAACACCGTCTTTCTTTACTTTTGGCCGACGAGGCTACAAACACCAGGATTTCATGTACATTTTTGCTGTCCTTTTTATTTACTAGAGGACCTCTCTAGAGTACTATTGTTCAAAAAAGTTTATATACATTAACAAAATCAAATTAATATAACAATAAATAACTAAAAGAAACAAATTCAATAAATCAAGATTTAGCTTAAAAACTTAGGTTAAACCTCGACTCTATTGTTGATTGACTCTTTCACATCTTTGAACAATGTGATTAATATAATCGGCCAACAATAGTTCCACGACCTCAATTATCTCTGATATTACAACAGTGTAAAATGCACGAAAAAGAGAGTGGTTCAATTGTGTCAGAAAGTAATTTGAAGAAGTAAGTTAGGTCTGAATACAGCTGCAGTGTAATAGTGGAAAGCTGTTTCGAAAATAAACAACTAACGTAAACGACTACCCCGTATATCATAGGTGGGTTAATTAAGGCATGTAACAGCATTTAATAATGATATTTACTGAAGCCTACGCCAAGGCTTCACTTAGAAACAAAACTCCGAACATGAATAATTCTCATATAGGGAATTGAATTATCATATTATTCCAGTGAGTTCATGAGGAGCTGTCACATGACATCGAGTTTTACGGAACATAGCTGTATCATGTAAACCGTGCGTTGGTTTGTATTCAAGCTGTTACGACAGCGGAAGTCACGTGACACTGGTTACACGTGATGATTTTCTAGAAGAATCATGAAGGCCCGAGCGCATTCGAGACGTCCTCTTTTTTAATATATAAGCCTGGCGAGTAAAACCAGCACGATAAGCAGATAATTAGAAGAGATATAGATAGATTGAAGATAGAGATAATTGAGTCAAGCGAACAG